AGAAACTGTAATCAATAATAATTGAAATCTCACTATACTAAAGTTGAAAAGACGCATCTGTGTCACTTGAAAAATTCATACATGTAAACCACACAAACACAAGAAATAAAGATCATTTAACTGTCAAACTCAAAAAACTTTTTTTTATTCTACAGTTTGCTTTCATCGACTCCACATCGTACCCATGGAAAATGGCTCGCAAGCAGACCGCTCGCAAGTCCACTGGAGGAAAGGCTCCTCGCAAGCAGTAGGCAATGAAAGCCGTTCGCAAAAGCGCTCCAGCTACCGGAGGAGTAAAGAAGCCTCATCGCTACCGGCCAGGTATCGTCGCTCTGCGTGAGATCCGTCGTTATCAGAAATCGACCGAACTGCAAGTTGCCTTTCTAGCGTCTGGTGCGTGAAATTGCCCAGGACTTCAAGACCGATCTGCGCTTCCAGAGCTAAGCTGTTATGGCTCTACAGGAAGCTAGCGAGGCTTATCTGGTTGGTCTGTTCGAAGATACCAACCTGTGTGTCATCCACGCCAAGCGTGTCACAAACATCGTATCCGTGGTGAACGCGCTTAATTTTCCCGTCGAAAATCTACAAAACCGGCCCTTTTCAGGGCCACTACAAAGATTCCATAAGAGAGTTATTTAAGTGAACTTTTAAAATTCAGATTTAGATCGGCTAAGTTTGTTCTGTGGATTCTATGCAATCAGTAACGGAGCAAAACTATTCCGTGTACGAGTTAAAAAACATGCTCTCAAAAATGTACGTTCATGCGTTCGCTTTCTGACCCGGGGTTGATTTCGAGATTTTGAGTTTTTCCTAGAAATTTTAGTTAAATTGTATTTTTTGATTTTTTAGAATTTTTATGTATTTTTTATGCAGAATATGCAAAATGTTAATCCTCTATGGGATAAATTTTTTCCAAGTTTGGTTACAAGATTACAACTCTGGAGAGCATTTTGTGTGGTCGTTGGGAGCGTGTGGTTCTGAATATGGCGATGAGTGTGCAAAATATTACGCAATTTCATCCTCCCTATTCGCACGCGCCCGAGGATCGGAGGCGAATGCCAATTCGACTTGATTCGTCTACTTACTACTCTCTGACGACTGTGCTGGGGAAGCAGCATATGCATGTAGGTAATTGGTGGATTTGTTAGTTAATTCGACGCTTTTGGACAATGCTGAACATTTACCAGTTTTTCAATAGTTTCTTGTTGAAAATCAACATTCGGAAGCATTATTATCGATGCGTAGCCATATTTCTGATCGATTGGTCATAAAATTATTGAAATTGGACAAGGGGCTACTGAATTATTAACGTTCAAAATCTTTCATAATTTGTTACATGTTCCATTTTCAGTTTTCACAAAGTGTACCCCCATATAGAAATCAAAGACGTAGTCCTACGTCAAAAAAATGCCACAACCTAACTGTCAGGATTACCAGTGATTTGTCAAAAAAGTAAATATTATTGATGCGTGCATCACATAATTGTCAATCGCTGGAGTGTGAGGGGGAAGTATTATCGGTACAGTTTAAAACCGGAAAACTCCGCAGACGACAATCGATTTTACTATAGAGGTAACTCTATTTTACTCTTATTCTGAACGAGTGTCGAACATAGTGCGCAGTATACGGACAATTATGCACTATGTTCAACCATATGTTTAACGTACAGAAAGAGACTAAAATGGAATGTCGCGTGTGGGGTTTTCCGGTGTCCAACTTGACCTACAAACCCGTATTAACAATAGTCATAAGAATCACCTAAGGGGCTGTTCATAAACTACGTAGACCGATTTTTAGAGGTTTTAGACCCCCCCCCCTCCCCACGCGTAGACAATCATTAATACATTTTTTTAGAAATATGTATGGACCGTAGACATTTGTCAAACCCCCTCCCCCCCCTAAATAGTCTACGTAGTTTATGAACGGCCCCTAACCACCAATTCTGAAAATAATCCCATCTATATGTGTTATGGTCGTACCATCTATGATATCGTTAGTGTATGGTACCCGTTTATTAGGGAATACTTACAATAAATTTACTAACTTTCCCCTGTTTCTGTAGTATGTTTTTCCCGTTTTTCCCGGTCCACTCAGTAAGATTGAGCCTGCATGGTGTCCCACCGTAAAAGTAGGATGGGACTAGGACATCGTAGGTATGCATGTACCTACTGGCAAGCTAGAGAAGACGGCGGCCGGACCTCGTGGTGGGTAATTATAAATTGCGGCTTTTTTGTTTGTTCAGGCCGGAAACGCAGACGGGGCTAATGTTTTCTATTTACTCTTTGTTCCTTAAGAGTTTACCGGGAAGAGTATTTATGTGACGCCGTCCAGGAAGAAGTGGAAATTGAAATATGGCAAACAGGATGTTCTTAGGAAAGGCGTATCTAGAAACTTTCCATTTTCTTTGTCTTGGCTCGAGTGTTCATTTCTCTGGTTCGAAGAAGGATAATAATTGGGATGCTGCGTGCCTGGTCATAATTTGGCTGGCATTCAATTTGTCAAGGCATGTACCCGAGTTCAATGAGTAGGATTAATTGAAAATTTGATACTTCGCAATTAAATTTATTATGGACTACCCAATAGGTGAGTCACTCAGCACATTGTGCCGAAATTAAATACGGCACAGCTTGGACAAATTTATCGGTACACCTTCGGCACAATCTCGTATGCATTGAATTGATGTAAATAAAATGGGAGCACTGCTGGACAACTGTCATTCAAGTTGTTCACAACATTACGTGCTGTTGGACTGTATATTCAGAAACATCATCTAATTGAATATACCAGCTCAGACCAGCTTAAGTGGGCTCAAGAGAAAGAGACAGTTAATCAGACCCCCTTAATTAAGTTGCAGCACAAAACAAACTACAGAAGTAATATACATCATCCTCTATATTCGGTCTCCAACAATGTTCCGCACCGGTTCCAACTAAAGGGTCATTAAAAATAATTTTAAGAAAAAAATACGGAGTATTTGGAGAAAATCCGAGCTGGAAAAGTGCAACCGATAGAAAACGGCACACAAAATTGCACTTTCCTCGGATTTTCACAAACACGCTCTCACATATCGCATCAATACAGCCGGACGTGAAAATCTGTATTGGATGCGAATGCGATGCAGCGAAGATTAAAGCAGCAACAATCCGTCTACCGTCTCTTCGTGTTGCGTTCGTGTGTGTCAGTGAATATCTATTTATTTAATTTTATTTGATTTCAGGTGCATCGACAACAATAATAAATTTAAAAAATTGGGATTTCCAATTGAAAAACTTTGATTGTATTTGTTTTTCTTTTTACGGTTTTCATGGATTGTAGACAGATTTTCCTTGAAAATTTAGGCGTTTATACACAACATATAAAAAATCAGCGATGTGTTTCTTTTCGTTTTTGAGTTATACTTTGTTTTGAAGTTATAAAGTTTTGGGATTTTGCTTATTACTCCGATGCGTCTTCCATTGATTTGTAGCGACTGTAACATGGTCATGACATGTGCATATTTAAGGTGCGGGGGTGAACAAAGAGGTGAACGCCTAAGCTTTTTCACAATTGCTGTGAAGCAACTGTTAACTGTACATGGAATTTATATCTTTAACAGTAACCAATTCGTTTTCGTTTGCAAATCTGGTTTAGATGCCATACTTAATCGTTCAGCTCAAACCTTTGTAGGAGGAAGAGGTGGGACCATCATCATCGTCATCATCGTGAATCAATTAAATCAAATTAAAAATTTCAAATATTCTATTCTTAGATGTTGCAAACGTTTATCAATAGGAGGAATTTTCGACATCCACGCTCGCTTACAGCTCAGAAACTGATATTAATAACATCCACTGCCAATCAGTCAATTCCAATTCATTAAACAAAACCTACAATTTGAAATCCCTCCCATGCAGCTCTCGAAGCAGCAATTATTTGCATCAGTATTCCATTTTTTTCACCTCAAACTCCAAACAATTTTCCACGCTGCACATTCCCTCGTTATTTACACCGAAATAATCGAATCCGATTGAAACGGTTGCTTACTGAACCGGCAACTGGTGTGGATTCAATTCGTTACTTCAACAACCGGAAAGTGTGCAATGCATTCCGCACACATGAAAATCACGCAGCAATGCGGACATGGAAATCGATTAAATTTCACGCTCCATTTTGTGGTGTAGAAAAATCGTCGACTCCCGGAGACCCACGGCCACGGTGTTCCGTGGGAGGCGACACATCTAAATCTCAATTCTAGGTGCTCAACAAATCTCACACTAGCGAATCAATCTTCGAAAAATCATCATTTTTGTAGGAAATTTTCAGAATCGTAATCAATCTTCTTTCGATCTACTCAGTGTGCGCGCAGCTAACCACAGCAAAACTCAATTTTTCCCGCATCGTAGATAGAGTTGCCCCCCTCGCGGCGTTCTTTTTTGCTCTACTGAAGTAAAACGGTAACCGTACAAAGTTTAATATGCAACTGGATCTATTTCATCCAATAGCTGTTTCACGGCGAAAAAAATTGACGAATCCATTCAAATTGTTAGCCATCGTTTGTTTACATTTCTACGGTGGTATACACACGGTGCTGTCATTTTGTCTCACTATTTATGTTGACTGATTTGACCTCACTGATATCCGCTACTTCTTTGATCTCTCCGATACTCGATCGTTTGATTTTGATGCAGTAGACTATTTACTAATATTCACCCTACTAATATTTCGGTATAAGTGTGTGTGCGAGAGTGTGCAAACTAGCGGCCTAGCAGGTGATGATTGTTGTTGTTATTATTTTTTGTTAAATGCTAGCTGTACTGCCGGATGTTGTTCTCCGCTACAAAGTACTGAGAATTATTCATATCCAAATGGAAATCATGTTTAACTGTTTGTTGATTGCCCGACTCTGACGTTAATTTTGTTCTCACTAATGTACTCAGTCTCGTTATTAATGTGCTTACCTCTTATTGCACGCCGTTTAAATGCTAACAAATCAGCAACCTTTACCAATAACACACAATATCTCCGAACGACATCTTCCGGTAACACATTGAATAAACTATGCAAAAATCCAAAACCTAAAGACGAGATACACATTCGGTTTATCACAATACAATCAAAGCCGTCAAAAGCTCCTCCCGACTAATACATACACGAACGACCAGAACACAAACACCACCGGTAAGCAACGAAGCTCACACCACTACTACTAGATGCTCGGCTTCGGCGATGGCGTTCTGTCAATGTAATCCAAACTATCCGCCTGCTTTGCTGGTTCACTTTTTGCATCACTGCTTCCGTTGGTGTTCTCTTTGACCCCCTGACAGGCTCCGTTTTCTCCATGCTCCGTCACCGTCGCCATCGCCGTTCCCTCGCTAATCGTAGCCAGCCGCGTCCCAACCGATTCCGACTTGGCAACCGGCGTTCCCTCCACTTCCGAACTGGCCATTGCCTGATCCAGCTCCTGCTGCCATTCGGTTTCCTTCTTCTCCATGGCTTTCCGTTTCTGCTCCTTGAACCGGTTGTACACCAGAAACTCCTTCAACAGCTGACTGTCCAACGGGCTCAGCTGGTCCTGGTTCGGATTCTGACCGTCGCGGTTGATTGACCGTTGCTTGGCCAGCCGCTTCTTCTTCTTGTGCAGCGGTTTCGTCTCGATGATCATCTCCTCCAGCTCCAAGCTGGGATCGCAGTTGAGGTGATCTTTCGACGGCTTGAAGAGGGGATTCGTTTGCTTGGATAGGACCCGCTCAAAGTTGGTTCCCCGGAGGAGCTTGGTTTGCTGCAGCTCCCGCTGGCTGCTGATGCGGGCACCCGGGTGGACGTTGAGGAGCTGGAAAGTGAGAAGAGAATGGGGTTAAGATAAGAATTGATGCCAGGTTGAGTGACTTAGAATGCGTTGACAATCGAAGTAAATAGGGGCAAGACCAAGGGGTCATCAACTCTGCACACTGTGCCGGAACACAACATGGCACACTGTTCGGTACACTAGGGCACACGTTGACAAGTAGGACACAAACAATATAATGTAAAACGGCATCACTGTCACGTGTTGACGTTTTGCCTATCGTTTCTAAGATTGACTACTTTGTTTATTCCATTAGGCTTCTCAATGGGTTCAAACATTTTCAAACAAAAACTTGTGAGTATTTTCTGCCCCACGAATCTCGTAAAAAACCAACAAATCTTATCCGATTCGTAGCGAAACTCCCAGCGGTTAGTGGTTTCGTCTAGAACAGCTTATAATCGGGCCTCACGTCAACAAAGTTTTTCCACATTATGGTCGGTAGAGAACAACTCGGGGGTAACTTGACACCTCCAGTATATTTCCTGTGTACCCCGAAAATGTGATGCTGGTGGTTCTGTCAAACTCACGAATTTCATAAGAGTTATCTGAATAGGGCGAATGTGTAAATGATGTACAGTAAATAAAATTTTAGTTCAACATTCCTCCTAACAAAACGGGATTCGCGTGTGGGGCACGAAACGTCCGACATCAAAATTAACATTAGTGACATAGGAAGGCCAGTGATGCCAGCGAGAAATGTCGTTTTGATTTTCAGTCATATGCACATAATCACAATTCATAATCGTTTATGTAACTTTTTTGTGTAGTGTTGGATCATAGTAATCACTGGAACACTATATAAACGGTGCAATTGACAAGTACTGAGGCATGATACGTTAGACCTTGAATAACGAAACATTTCTAGTATTAATCAAGCTATCTTTCTGTTCCGGAACTACTTTCCGGACACATCAATTTGGCGACGAGTATTCAAGAACCAGAAGCGATGACAGAACTTTAGGAAGCAATTCTCCAGATGCCAGCGCTCCTACAGAAGCCTTTGGAACCCAATTAAGTCCATAGCCACCCGGAGCAAACACTCGAGGCCTTGGCAACGAACACCAAATTTCCGTTCGACCCGAAAAATGGAATCACCTTCGAGACGCGGTACAGCCGGTACGCGGATCTTTTCGATTCGGATGCCAAGAACCTGGAAGATGCCGCCAAGGTCCGATTGCTGCTAAGGAAGTTGGATACACCGTCACACACCCGGTACACCAGCTACATCCTGCTGAAGCTTCCAAAAGACGTCAATTTTGCTGACACAGTCGAAACCCTCAAGAAGATCTTCGGATCACAAACCTTCAGCTTCAACAAGCGATATCAGTGCCTGCAGCTGGTGAAATCTGAAGCAGGAGACATCATCAGCTACGGAGGCAAAGTCAACCGTGCTTGCGAGGATTTCGATTTCAAGAACGTGAAGATTGACCAATTCAAATGTTTGGTGTTTGTCTGCGGTCTCAAAAGCCATTGCTATGCAGACTGAAACACCAGAAGCTCCCGTAACACTCCAAAACTTGATCGACGACTATCAACGGCTCGTGAATCTCAAGGCGGACACATGCATGATCAAGCGGCAGTCAAGCTCGAAACCAACGGTGCACGCAGTTCAGGAGAAGAAGGGAACCTCTCAACAACAACAGTCTTCGAAGACGGAAGGTAAATCGCCTCGCAAACCTTGTTAGCAATGCGGCCAGTTGCACTATGTTCGGGATTGTCCATTCTCGAATCATCAGTGCAAGCAGTGCAGCCGTATCGGCCACAAGGAAGGCTACTGTGGCTGCTTCTCCAAAACAAAATTCGTTCAAGGTGGGGAGGAAAAGAAGTCATCGAACAAATCAAGCAAACCCTACAAGGCAAAATCCCGAGGCGTATACATCGTCAATCACATCGCTCAACACTCAAGCAAGCGAAAGTTCGTGCCAACATTCATCAACGGCGCGGAAACCAAGCTACAACTGGACACAGCGACCGACATCACGGTAATCTCGAAGCAAACCTGGAACAATCTGGGCAAACCTGCAATCAAGAAACCAACCATTGAAGCAATGAACGCGTCAGGCAAGCCGCTCCATTTGATGGGTGAGTTCGAGTGCGAAGTGAGAATCAACCTGCTAGGCATCGACTGGATCGAACTCTTGTGGTCAGTTCCCATCGATTCGGTTTGCAACCAAGTGAAGACAAAACCAATCGATCAGCAAGTACGTGAATTCCAGGCCAAGCACGCAGATGTGTTCAACGATTCACTAGGACATTGCAAGAAGTTATAGGTAAAGCTTTTCCTCAAAACTAATTCTCAACCTGTTTTCTGTCCCAAGCGGCCAGTTCCTTTCAACACAATTCCATTGGTCGATGCTGAAATTACACGATTGGAATCATGGGGTATCATCGAGCCTATCGATTTCTCTGAGTGGGCTGCTTCAATCGTGGCTGTACGTAAACCAAACGGCCGGGTTCGTATCTGTGCGGACTGTTCAACAGGACTCAACGCAGCGTTAGAAGCTAATCACTACCTGCTTCCCACTCCGGAGGAAATTTTTGTCCAACTCAATGGCAGTTTCGTATTCGACCTCTCCGATGCATACTTGCAGCTCGAGGTGAATGACGATTCAAAAAAGCTGCTCACCATCAATACGCATCGGGGTTTATTCCGGTTCAATCGCCTCGCTCCAGGGGTGAAGTTTGCACCGGGAGCATTACAACGACTGGTTGATGGAATGATTGCGGGAATACCTGGCATTCGCTCTTTCATCGACGATGCCATAGTATTCGGCCGGGACTTGAAGTCGCATGCAGCATCACTCAACCTGCTTTTCCTACGTCTCAAGGAGTATGGTTTCCACGTCAAGGCAGAGAAGTGTAGTTTCTTCCAGTCGCAAATCCGCTACTTGGGACACATCGTATCCGTCCAGACCCCGAGAAAATCAAAACCATCACTGCAATGCCACCTCCAACCAACGTCAACGTCGAGCTGCGATAGTTTCTGGGTGCGGTTAACTTCTACGGAAGATTCTTGCGCAACCTACAAGAACTGCGCTATCCCATGGACAAGCTTCTCAAGAAAGAAACAAAGTGGAAATGGACATCAAAGTGTCAGCAAGTTTTCAAAAAAATCAAGACAGTTCTTCAATCAAACTTGTTGTTGACACACTACGACCCCAAGCTGCAGTAATCTTTCACCAGTTTCCCGATGGAATCATGAAGGTTGTGCAATACGCTTAGAGGACACTTACAACCGCAGCCGACTTTGAAATTCAACATGTGTTCACCAACGACTTCGGATGTGCAGATTTGTTATCCCGGCTCATCGACCGAACCAATCCACCAGAGGAAGAATTTGTGATTGCAGCACTCACCATGGAAGAAGATTTGGTAAGCATCCTGGCAGACACAACGGAAAAAGTACCAGTTTCTTTCGCAGCACTTCGAAAGGCTATAGCAAAAAACCAAGGGGAGGAGGTGGCTGTCAAATACGAACAATCGTCGCCTACCTCGCATAACTGGTTCCAAACGTAAACAAGCCATAAGAAACCTACAGCGTTTGTTTACGTTTGGAACCAGTTTCATACAAGAATGATCAGTAGGCTGATTTGACAGCAGAAAAAACAGCACTCTTCAAACCATTGCAAAGCATATCCATGATGGTTGTCCCAACAAAACTCTATTCTATAGTATTCTCTTTCAATTGGATGAAAAAAATCCGCAGTTCCTTCAATTGTATGCCAAGGAGTGAACCTTTTGATCTGACGATGCGCATGTGCTTCAGCATAGATTACTTGGCGATAATGTTGGCCACTTTTGTCTAGTCTTTTACAAATTCTTCGATAGAATTCGCTGCCTTAAGGAGTTTCCGTAGATATCCCTTGGAAAAGGCCCAAAAAGTTGCGATCGATCGGGCCTCCGGATTCTTTTGGCACGTATTGCACCAAGATACCGTGTCTTTCGAGTAGTGCATTTACACCAAATCGGACCCAAATAATACTCGGCCTTCATGTTGATGGATCATGGGTCGCAGACGCCGATTCAAACAATCCCAAACGTAAATCTCAGTGTTCAGCTTGTTTCTGCTTCTTGGACATTTTCAGCCAGTTTTATGCCTTGGAACGTTGGACGTTAGTCTTCGAAGTTCTCAGTTTTTTGTTTGACAAATCTCGGATAGTTCATCGAGAGTCTCGATAAAGCTTTCGAGACGGTTTCGGAGGTCAGCTATCGTTTGGCATGGCAGGTATACGGAGGCGATTGGGCAGCTGATTTTAACTGCGACGACCGGGAGGTCTACCGGTGTTGAGATTTTGGAGAAGGGTCCTGATTCCTATGGCAACTGAGTGGAAGATGTTATCGCCTTTTTTCAGTACCCAGCGGTACTATCTATTGAAAGTGACAATTTACGAGAGTGTATAAACTATAGGACACATTGTTTTTGCACTGGGTGTGCGGGATTTGACAGGAGCTAAGAAGAGGAGAACCGAGTGAGAAAGAGAGAAGAGAGTGAATGCAGAACATAAACAGAAAAAAACAGTTTGTCGCGATTGTATCGCAATTGCATCCGGTAGAGTAGGAACCAGTAGAGAAAGTTGGTGTGAGACTGAAAACTCTTTGTACTGAGAAATAGTGTGAATATACGGTTGAGTCTTATAAAGGTAGTACCGAAGTCCTGCGTAACATAAATACTTCTCTTTCAGGTTTGGATTCATGTTAAATACATTAGTCGGAGATTTCCAAATTGAATCTAATTGGATATTTAACAACTCAGTTGGAGGTTTCCAAAGTAGTTAATTATTTTAACACTATCCGGATAAGGATCGGTTCATGCTTATTAGGCTGGCATTGTGGACTGAGATTATTATAGGAACCGTTCATATTCCAATGGACGGCCAGCAAAGGTGCGGGAGTTGGGTGCCTAGAGGGTCCAATGGGCGTACCTGTCTGTTTTGGGTATTGGTACTTGCAGAGCTCCCCCGGTGGAAACCGTCGTTGGGGACCCCACCGCCAGCAGAGATGCTAGAGCCGCTGGGAAATGTTACGGACTCAGTCAGTGATGGGCCAGGGGATGATGGAGTGGAATTACCATGACTGGCCCTCCACTGGCCATACCTTCTCACGTCCGTTAGTGCATCCGGAGGGATGCGTTTTTTGTAAGCCAGCTGGATGGATCTTCTCAGCGGGAGGATGTCGGTGTGGCGTTGTCTTGTGAAGTTTGCCAACGAGTGCCGGTTGACCCATAGCTTCCGCACCGGTGTGGCCCCACACTACCCGAGGCCTTATCCGTTACGAACGTCCTAGCAGAGGGTTTTGAATTCAACGAGCTTCCTTTTCATTGGCCTTGCATCCCTTGGTGTGATGGTGGGGGAGTGCGATGTCATCGCTTGACCCATATTGTCTTGGTTGGATATTCTTGCCTCCCGCGGTGTCCGTAAGGGGAAAGATGGAGTTATCATGCGACCCATCAGAAATGTTGGCGAACCCTGACAGAGGTCCACTAACAGAAGTAGATAAGGTTGAACTCGCTTCCTATATTTATCCGATCGGGGGAGTATGAGGTAATCTTGATTCCCACGCTGTCCGAGTTCATTATAGTAGTCTTCGCTCCCTCGTTGTCTATGCGGGATAGGAGTTTCCTTCCTTATCCGTCCCTCTTCCAGCCACAGTGGAGGGTAGAGGGGTGTCCGGTCAGTTCCGGTGAGGCAGAGACATCCACACCGGTGTGACCTCGCCTGCTCCGGTGCTCCACTGGGTAAGTGGGGCGAGCCATGCTGTGGGATCGGCCTGTGGAGGTTGCCAATAAGTACCTGGAGGTGTCCACCGATTCCGGTTGCCCGAAAACTTCCACACCGGTGCCGGTGTATGGCGCCGGGGGTAGAGGTTCCTCCAGTTGTTCCTGATTTTGGTGGAGTATCGTGGATTTCTGGGTGGTTTTTGTTGTTTTAGGAGATTTTCGTCTGTGGCCTTCCGAAGCGACGTCAGCTCCTTGTTTTTTGGGTTCGAGGAGTGTTGCAAGACTTTCACCTTGGCCACGAGATCCTCGATAGTGCCGTACCTTCTTGTGCGCTCCATTCGGTTATCTTTTTGTTGTTCTTTTTCCTACATTTTGATAAGCGCATCCTTCTGAAGGAGTTCCTTGCGGAGTAGTTTGACTTGTTCTTCGGTATCGTTCTGCTTTTTCAGGGCTTCAATCAGTTTGGATATCTGTCACTAAGGGTGAAAACTGACAAGATTCCACTCGCGGCGACGCGATAGAAAACTGTCATGTCTCCACTGCTCTACACAGAAAAAAAATTCTGAATTTTAACTATCGCGTAAAATCTCCCTTCGTTTAATTTTAGCTATTCTTGGCATAAACAGCGAAATCGTTTACAAGCTTGCATACAATATTGCTAATTTATGCGATATTGCGCTTAAATTTACACGAAATATCGCGTAAATTTATGCCAAATGTAGCGTTAATTTTATGTGCGCTATATCTCGCAGAAATTTACATGAATTTTTCGAACGGTGTTTCTATGCTTCGGATTATGGAAAGCACAGAACAGAAGGGGAAGTGCAAACAAATCGATGAATCAAAAAGTGGGTTCTGATGCATAGTCATTATCGGTGTCATTCCTTAATTTTGTTGCTAGGGAATCCGATTTTGACTGACAAAGGGGCGCGTCTTTAGAGGGTCTTCCAACACTCCGAAGGTATAAATAGCGGAACCTTTCAATTAGAGTCGTATCCTTGCGATAAATGCAAGAATGTGAACCTAAAAGTAATGATTAGCCACAAACAATTTATTCCTCCTAAATACGATTGCTGGATCACTGTGCAGTGGTTGAACATATTTTGAGTGTAGAATGGAACAACAATGCCCGAGTTCTTCTACCAATTTTGCGCGCCATTTCCACTTGTGAATACAATTGCTACACCGATAACGGTCATAACAACAATTCTTTCCTCGTGAAAAGCGCCAAAAATGCATGCAACTGGAATTCCCTGCACCGAGGAGGAGAGAGAGAGAGAAGGGCACAGCCGCTTCTGGATCAAGTGCAACAATTATTTTCCCGTGACTGCTTCTCGTGAATGCACGCCACCACAGACAATAAAGTTTATGCAAAACTGGAGCAGCCGAGTTCTGCGGAGAAAGAATTATCGCCGTTTGGCACGGCTACCACCGGATGTCGGCTGGATTAGTCGAGAACCGGGGCAGGAAGAAATGCCATAATGCCGACATCCAAGATAAAACCGGCTCAAGGTTGGATTATCGGTTTGGGCCGACGGAGGAGGTGGGGAGGTGGAAGCGGAAATGGGAAATAATTGCAGATAATTGCATTTCCATCCACAGCGCGCACCTACTCTTTGGTGTTCCGTACCGTGTGCCGAGTTTTATGTTATAATTGGTTGGAAGTAATTGCCGCACTGCTTCGGGATCGTCATCCGTCGGTTGTTTACCGGATGTAAACATTCAATCAATTCGAGGCTGAAAGTCTGCCACTTACCTTGGCGAGTAGATCGATGAAATTGTCGCTCCAGTTGCGGGGGAAGAGCGGATGGGCGATGAGGACGTTCTTCACCTCGACCAGCGGCGTCGCCGAGTGGATCACGAATGGCCGCACCCCGGAACGCATCTCGTAGGCGACGATGCCCAGTGACCACCAGTCGACCGGGTAGCTGTAACCGGCTGAGGAAAAAAAAATTGAAAACAGGAGAACCGCTTGAATCGGACAAAATAGATGGTGGTTTGACGCAGGAAAACAATCGAAGGAGATGGAATGAAATATTAAGGTAAGTAAGTTGTAAGTTTTTGTTAAATTTTTCGAATTTAAATTTTCCATTACCATTTATAAATTGTACAGTGGTCAATTCAAAACTGACCACATGAAAATTCCCCAAATGAAAATTAATAATTCAAATAACAATTTATAGACATTTCATGGCTTCCCGCATAAACGCGAACCATAACTTAACCTTACCGAAAATGCTTAAAAATTGCTTATAATCCCTGCTAAACTTTAACTGAAATGGTTAGGGAACTTTACATGAACGTTTGTGTGATAAAGTTTTAACCTTATGTATTAAGGTTTTTTGGAAGTGTACCTTAAAAATAATGGGTTGTTAAGAAACATTACCATTCGAAATAGTTGTTTTCTCCATACATTCTCGGAGAGAGGACTATATTAGAACCTTTTTACTCATGGTTTGAGAATTTTAATGGTAATGATTATGGTAGCCAGTGAGGTCCATTAATGGTTTTTTATTATCGGTCAACTTTACGTGGAATATATCACGAATTGATGATCAGCAATTTGCAGGCAACCAATTCGCGATATATTCCACATAAAGTTGATAGATGTTACAAAACCATCAGTGAACCTTACCGACTACCATAACCATTACCATTAAAGTTCTCAAATCATAAATAAAATGGTTCCGATATAATTCCTTTTTCAAAAATGTATGAAGAAAACAAGAATTTGGAATGGTAATGGTTCTTAACAACCCATTATTTCAAAGGTTCGCTTCCAAAAAACCATAATACATAAGGTTAAAACCTTATCACACAAACGTTCATGTAAAGTTCCATAACCATTTCAGTTGAAGTTTAGCAGGGATTATAAACAATGTTTAACCATTTTCGGTAAGGTCAAGTTATGCTTCGCGTTTATGCGGGTTGCTATATTGTCGTTTCCTTGAATGGATATTCAACCATATGGTTTAATACATCGCAAATGGAAACAAGCATATGTGTTGTACATACCTTTTATTTCCAGTCGCCTTGAATTCTTGCTAACCTTTATACTATTGACTTTGTCAATAGCTGTCATTCTTCCTTCCCCGCGCTTTTGTTAAGTTTTCAGTACACGAATCGGATAAAAAACGCGATGAGAAAAACGTACCGGAGAAATACTCGTTACAACGTGTTCGTTTTATTGCGTGTTATTTACTTGGATGAACAAACGTGAATACAAAAGGAAAATTATAACTGTCACTCGCATGTAAATGATGTTGACAATGATGATGACGACCAACATACCAAAAGGGTGTATTCGCGCATAAAACACCGAACTTAGCAGTGCTGCCAACAGAGTTAATTTGCCTCATGTTTTCCCAGGATTTTCCAAGGAGAAATTCCCGAATTTGAGAAAAGTAAAGATTGGATTCACTCAGTCTATTGGTACTACTCCGAGACTGAATAAAATTTTCGTCAATTTTCTCATTTTCCGGCAGATTTTCCTGCACTTTTGGCGATTATGAGTGAACTAAACTCAAATTTGAGTCGTTCTCATTCGCCGTGTAGAGAATTAAAGTACAGTTTTCATTCTTGCCGCACGTGAAATTGTTATCATTTGTAAATTGCTCCCGAAAACCTGCCTATTTGCCACAAATCTACAACAATATGCCTTCTGACATTGAATGCGACTGTTATGTTAGCTGGACAACAGCTAGCAGACAGAACATTGGCAATGTAACGTCCATTATCCATGCAGCTAGACATTGATCAATGCTTTTTAAAGTTGCTACTACAAAATCCAAAACTACTTGAAAACAAATCCATTAGACCAATTCAGCTAATGCACTCCTCCGGACCCAGAGTCGATGGATTGCTTTTCATTAAATTTACTTTTTCACAAGCAGAGAATGCAAATTCGCCCAAACTTTTTCTTTTCCGCCCGAATATGGTCGCTTCTGCCTTTTTTGCTGTTTCCCCACCAGCATCTGTTGGATGGTTCCGGTTCCGACAGAACTGCTTCATCTGCATTTTCACCTGTGAAAATAAACTACCGCCGCTTTCGGGATGAAAAATTGCAGTTTTTTTTTATTGTGAGCTCCATTTATGTGTGCAACTAAATGTTTCAGCTTCCTGTAGACTGGGTAGCGGGAGTGTGGAAGTGATCGCTGCGAACCAAACTACTCACCCACCAACATCCAAACAAATGCAGACACCGTTCAAACTCGGTACGAGCTCCGGATATAGTTCTGGTGTTGGTTAACGTAGCGATTTTTTGTCGAAACAAACTCAACAAACCGGGGTCGCTTTTCAATATTGGAGGACGGAAGATTGGTGCTCAAGCTGACTCCAGAACTAGGCGATACGGTGGGGATTACTAAAGAGACTAGAATATATATAGAGACGCTATCTGATCCCGGTATCTAGCAGCCATGGCAACACAGTCATTCGTTTGACTTTTGTTTTGGTCACGTTTGTTGTTATTCGAGGAAATAGATGCTATTTTCGTTGATTCCGTTTAGAGTTGGCAGAGCTTGGTTTTAGAGATTATATTAGTAGCTGAAATTCTTGATGTAGCAGATATGTATACTTCTCTAATCATCTCAAATAACAGTAACTTTTTTTTTAAAGTTTGACAGCTCGACTGGAACGACAATTTCAATTTCAATCGGAACATGGCGTCTCTTTGCACACTCCAGTCTCTTTAGGCGTTACCAAACAAGATTAGTTAACATAACAGCTTCGGACAACAATGATATCAACGGGTAGAGCACTGGATGAAAAATGGATTTTTTGTTGAAATGGATGCCAGAGGGAGAAAGAGAAAATGCTTCGGACGGAACCTGATAGCCCATTTGCGTAGTGCAGCACGGTTGGTTCTCAGGGTTGCTTTCCATGTTATTCGTATGATGTTGGCTTTCTGTTTATGTAATTCTATTGTGATTAATTACCGTTTATAATTTGAATGGTTTAAATTACTGCATGTTTGGCATTGCGATTTCCGTTCTAGGACTGACACGATTACCGAACAATTTCCGGAAGAGCAAAGTGAAAAGTGGAAAATGGCTGGAAGATAAGTGATCATTGCCGTTAGAAGACGACTCGGTCAGTTCGTGGTCCTTTAATTGAAAAAAAAACTGTGCGACTGTATGTAATTAGGGGACGGCACCGGCAACCTCTCACGCAATAATCACGAGTTCAAATATCATTCCCGGACAAGTTACGATGTTACGATGGTAAATTTATGATACATTTTTCATCGCAATAACAAACAGGCATAACTTTTAGAAGTACATTCTTCAAAAACAAACGTTTGTACTTATACCACAAACGAAGTGACAGACGACTATCTTGATTTGAACAAAGTTGATTTTGTGTACAATGATTCTTTGACAGTGTGTAAAGAGTGTATCATTTTTTCATTTTTTTTATGCATTTCAGTTTTGAGTAGAGTGAAAGAGATAGAATCAAAACATTCTAGAACATTTGTTGAAAATGCTAGTATACAATCCAGTAGTAGTGTTGCCATGTGGTACACTGAAAAAATGCAATGGCAGGTTCATCACCAAAATTTTCGAGCCGCTCCGTCCGTCAATTCGTTTGTGCTCTAGCTATCCACACACACCAACGATGTGGACTTCACCTTAAACGAGCTTCTGTGGGCACTCGACAAAGGACGTAGTGCCTCTACAGGTCCCGACTCCATAGGGTATCCGATGCTCCGACGACTTTCTCTATCCGTCAAGACTGCGCTACTAGAGCTGGGCTACAGAGTTTGGCATAGTGGCGTTTTTTTTTTCCAACCAGCTGGTGAACAGGAATAATAGTGCCAATCCCGAAACCGAATTCTACAGAATCTGGCCCTGCCACTTTCCGACCCATCACATTGAACAACTGTATTGCGAAGGTGTTTGAGCGTATCGTGAACCAAAGATTAAGCATCGAACTAGAGTCGAATGGACGACTCGACAAAAGGCAACAAGCCTTCAGAGCCGGTTGGGTCAGCGATACTTACTTGGCGGAGTTGGATACGTCACTGCCCAACAGAGATCACATTGTTGGATAGCATCTCTCGATCTCTCGAAGGCGTACGACACTACTTGAAGGTACGGCATATTGCGTACTCTACGAAAATGGCAGATCGTCGGGGAGTAGATGTTCAAAGTGCTGAACAGTTTCCTTGCCGACAGAACATTCCGGAGTGAAATGCCATTGGAGAACGGTCTTTCCTCAATGGTCAGTACTATCTGTCACCCTGTTCCTGGTAGCAGTGCAACCGATCTTCAGAGAGGAGCCGCATGCAGTTACCGTACTTCTGTATGCAGACGATATCTTGCTCGTAGCACGAAGGAATAAGGAGCAACCTCTGTGTCGCGATTTGCAACCTGCTGTGAAAGCTGTCGACAAGTGGAATAAAAGCGTCGGTTTCAAAATTACAACGATACAACGATATTTGTTGTACCAAAGACGATGAGGCTGAATGTCATCGGTGTCACCTTCGACCGGACTCTAGGATTCCGCTTGCCCAACGTGACTCTTTGTTATGTATCTGCTCGGCAATCATCACTTCGCAGCTTCTCAACGGCATTGCACTCGTCAGCAGAGCGAAGAATTCCGTCATCCAAATTCTCGCACCCGTCTGGAGCGTACGTCACCAGCCCGATTCCACCGATTATGGCTGAAGCGGGTACCTTACCGTTTGACCTCCTGGTTCTTCACCCTTTACCTCGTGTTACCATCCGCATTGTGTATGCTGGGGATGAAACACAGAAATGTCGACCTTCCTGTTGTGCAACGAGCAACCGACCGTCTTATGATGGTTGATCAACGACTCCCGAACATCGCTAAGCGGACGCTGTTCACCAACCCATAGTGGCATGAACCCAAGCTACGTATTGTATGGAACGTGAGACGTTAGGTGAAAGCTGGAGATCCTCCGGATACAGTGCGTC